TGAAGATTATGTGCAAATATGCCGATTTTAAACCTTAACTCAAGGTGTCTGATCATTGTTTTGTTAACTTCTTCTTCAGAAACTCCTCTAGGCTCTACTCATGTGTTTTAATCGACCGTACAGATTTAATTTGCATCCATTCGTTGGAGCAGTAAGTGACATATGTTCCTTTATTTGGGACTTACAGGAGCCATATAGGAAATACACTGGGGAGCTAGGAGTGTCTTTTTTTGCAAGAGTCTGCAGAATGATGGATACAATGTATGAAAACATTTGAGACACAATTGTCACGCTAAAGGAAACAAGAAATCTGATTGATGTGCACTTTTTTGTCACTGTTGCATGATGTGTATATGGATGTGATGAATAAGGGAAGTGCAGAGGTGGAAAAAGAGATCCAGGGTCTGTCCCCAAAGTAGCAAATATCTGCCGAGTCATTTGTTATTCACGTCTGCCTTATTTCCTCAGGGTTTTTCCTCTTAGTTCTGAAGCCGTATAGAGGATCACGTGCTGCTTCGTTGAGTTTCCTGCACGTTGTACTCGGTCTGAGACGTTTCAATCGGGGCTCGATGCCAGCGACAGGAAACAGAGAGATTAGGGATCAATTCTGGCGTGAGAGTGCAGAACATGTATTAGACAAACACGATATTAACAGTAGTTAAAACAGCAGGAAGCACCTGCAGGATTCTTGGGAAATGTTGGGTATTTTATTTTCTAAAAATTGACATTGTTCAAGCTATTACTAACCGTTTGAATGTCTTAGTCCGAATTCCCAAGTAAAGACTTAGGATTGATTCTGACATTTCCAACTGTCCTAACAACAGTTTTACAAATCTAGACAATTATTAGTCAACACATAAGGAATAAAGTAGTGTTGGGGAAGAAGGAAGTGAGGAAGAGGGAGTAGAGGAGGAAGTGGGGGAAAGATAAAGAAGACATTAAGGATAGAAGAATGATGGTAGTGATTAAGGAAAGGGAACAAAGGTGACGAGGAAGGAAGGGAAAAGAGTGAATGCAGCCCCTCGGCGTCTCACTGTGTTTTGGATTCAGCCGATTTATTTTCATGCGTTTGTGCAAAATTCCTCAGACTCAATGTGCATGGTTTCTCAATGGCTTTCCACGCACGCACGCACGCACGCACGCACGTACGTACGCACGCACGCACGCACACACACACACACACACACACACACACACACACACACACACACACACACACACACACACACACACTCTCTCTCTCTGAGGGATTAGCTTTTCCCTAACCCTAACCAAGTCTTCACCCTAAAATTAATGATTCCACACACACACACACACACACACACACACACACACACACACACACACACACACACACACACACACACACACACACACACACACACACACACACACTCTCTCTCTGAGGGATTAGCCTTTCCCTAACCCTAACCAAGTCTTCACCCTAAAATTAATGATTCCCCCCCCCCCCCCCCCCCCCCCCCACACACACACACACACACACACACACACACACACACACACTAACACACAGAGATTAAAGCCAGATTTGTGTCTGACGGGGTGAAGTTGTGGTGAAACTCTACCTCAGATGTGGACTGTGTGTGTGTCTGCTTCTTAACTTGTGACCGCTGCCTCGCTCCATCACACACACACGCACGCACGCACACACACACACACACACACACACACACACACACACACACACACACACACACACACACACACACACACACACACACACACACACACACACACACACTCACCCTCTCACTCCGATAATCACTCCGCTTTGTTTCCCCCGTTTCCTCACCCTCTCTCAAAGCCTCTCGTTCTCTCTTTTGTCCGCTTCACTCCTGTTGTTCATTATTCACTCTGTCATTCTCACTCTCTCACTCTTACTGCTGTGTTATGGAGGAAGTATTTAGGTCTACTGTATATTTTCTACTTTTTAATGCTATTTTAATTCTATTTTGATATGTGCAATGCCTTGTTTTGTTTTGCTGTTTTTTTATACTGCTGCAACGCAAACATTTCCCAATTTGGGATCAATACTCTTATCCATCTTATAGGTGGAACCATCACATGTTATTACTTGGAAACTCATTAAAATGATCAAAATAGTCACCAATTATTTGTATTTAATTTCTTCTAATTGACTCATGGACTTATCATTTGAGCGTACACTTTGGTGCACTTTAATTTCTAACAAAACATCAGGATTTGTACACTTTTAACACTAGAACCGCCAGAGATTTTTTATACCTAAAACCGCCACCTGGGTCAAATTGACCCGCTATTAGAATGCATTGATTTTCAAGGTAAAATGTTCTTTTATTGAACAGAGAGTTTTGATCGCACAGGGATGAAACGTATACCAATATAATCTGTGGACTCTCAGGGCTCGACATTATAAATGGCCCGCTGGCCCGGAAGCATTATTTAGACACCGCGGCCAGCATAACGTACTTTCAACTCGCCCCACAGCTGTTTGCTGCGGAGCGGAGCGCAGCGCGAGCAGTCTCCCGTGAGCGGGAGCACACTCCTTCACTACAGACTGTCTCTATCTCTCTCTCTCTCTCTCTATCTATAACTATCTATCAATATATCTATCCATCTATCTCTCTCTCTCTCTCAATCTATCTCTCAATCTATAAGGAACCGCAGTAGACAAAAGGCGTTGCTATAGCAACACGTCATGTTTATATGAAAAGGGGTGGGGTCAATATGACCCGCTGGGCGGAAATAGGTATAAATGGCAATTTTTTGGGTGATTTCTTCAATCTGACTTCATATTGACAATTTTTAACAACAGAGGGTGGTACATAACACACTTTCAGGAAAAGTCACGGACTGGGAGACTTTAATATTTTATTGAAAAAAAGTTACATAAAAAATAAAACCGCCAACGGGGTCAAATTGACCCCGTTGGCGGTTCTAGTGTTAAACGTCATTTTTAAAGCAAGTTAAAGTACAATATCTCCCTCTGAAATGTAGTAGAGTAGAAGTTAGGTGGCATGGAAAGAAAAGACTCAACTTAAGCACCTTAAATGTTTACTTACTGTGCTAAAACAGTACGGGTCCATTTGAAGCCTCAGACAAAGTGTGTGTGGCTTCTGTAGCGGGGAAAACGTTAGCCTTTTTGATTAAAACAGAATGAGCTCCATTGGGAATCTGAATCAAGTCCAGCTCGATTTGATGATTCTCTGGATCTCCTCCAATCTAAGCAACTCCTCTGTCTGCAGACTAATGCATCCTCTCCTCTGTTTATTACAAGAACAGAGTCTTTCTCAAATAGAAATTACTTAGGAAAACATCGGCTAGTTTACACAACGTCCAACTGTCCACTTGGGAGCGTTTCAGAATGTTTTACAGGACTAACCATAGCTCCTTTTTATGTTTATTTGTATTGTATTTTTGGTGTTGCATGACAGCGTTTCAGCAGATTTCACAAGACCCCCGAGACCCTGCAGTAAACACTGGAGCATGGGAGTGTGAGCTGCACTTTCTAGCCTTTTTTTTTAAAAGCTTTGGACCTTTTCCCATTGTATTATTCAGCTAAAAGGACATGAATGGATTTAAACATGCGTCTAAAGATGGAATTTGCTGAAAAAGGCCGTGGCATATGATCACAATTGTACCGAAAAAGCACAGAAAGCTTGATTTTTAGAATATTTAATTACATAAGTGTCTACATTATGTGTGACATTTACATTTTAGCAACACATTTTTAAAGTTGTGGACCTTATCCCATTGTTGTCTTTAGCAAATATAACATGCATGGATGTAAACATGTGTCTAAAAATGTAAATGACTGAAAAAGGCCGTGGCATATGATCACAATTCTACTGAAAACGTACCGAAAGCTTGATTTTTTGAATATTAAATTACATAAGTGTCTACAGTACGTATGACATTTACATTTTAGCAAAAAAAAATTAAGCTTTGGACCTTATCCCATTGTACTTTTCAGCTAATAGAACATGAATGGATGTAAACATGTGTCTTTAGATGTCATTAACTGAAAAAGGCCGTGACATATGATCACAATTGTACCGGAAAAAGTACCGAAACATTGCTTTTTAGAACATTTCACTACATAAGTGTCTACAGTATGTGTGTCTGACTTCAATTCAAAGATGTAATGTCGTATGCACATAAGCTACTGTGTTGAAATGCCCGAGCTTAAAGAGAACAACGTGAGTACAGTTTTGGACAACAATTAACGCTTCTTGTTATCCAAGGTTTGAAGAAGGCATGCATTTTGGGTAAATAAAAACAAATAATGTATGAATGAATTATTACAAACTAAACCAAGGACTAAAACCTGATCTTAAAACCAAACAAGACCAGTGTTAATACAAGAACATAATATATAAAGTGACTGCACAATCAACATAGACGTATACAACAACAAGCATTTCATTGCGATAAAAGGGTAATTCAGGGATTTGCAAATACGTTTAAGACACCTGTAAGAGATGTTTAAAAGAACAAGAACATTCAAAATCAAAGCAGGAGCATCCGATCCATTATCCTAAATGTTAGTATTTGTCAACTCCAAGAACAATTAATCGAAAATGATAAGAATCCACTATTTTAGGAAAACTCAGTGGAGTGTAATGAAATGAAGGCGTTGAGAAAGACACATACATTATATTGCTTTATACACAAATCCGAATGATACTAACTCTCAGCTATACTGAGAGGAATAATGGTGAATGAATGAAGGTACTGAGTGTTGAGAAAGATATTACATTGCTTCATACATACTGTATATCTGAATGATTGTAAAGAGTAGCTATCAATAAATGCACGAGAGGAATAATGGTGACTACATGAACTCAAAACCTCCATCATTATGTCCCACAGTCTGACGTCACATATGAGAGAGAGTGGGAACTTGATGGTCTGTTGATAATGTTCCCTGATTTCCATGTTCTCCTTTAATGCTCTGGTTTCTGGTTGAATAACGTCCGATAATCATCCCTTTCTTCAAGGGGGACCACACGTGGGCCACCATGTTGGGCCAGAGCGTTCGTCTGCAGCCGGTTCCGATCCAGAGTCTGTCGGAGCTGGAGAGAGCCCGGCTGCAGGAAGTGGCTCTGTATCACCTGGAGGAGAGGGACCTGGAATTCAAGATCAGCATCCCCAAAGGTACGAGAACGTTTCCTCACTTCTGTACGTCCTCGTTACATTTTTGGGATTATTTGAAGCTAACGCAGAACTCGCCTACGAACTGTTGGGGACAGGGCGTTCAGTGCAACACAAAAACGTCCCAACTTGGGATCAATAAACTACTTGTTATCTTTCTTATCTTATCTTATCTGGAGATCCTTAATGCTGCTTCCCTGGACATCTTCAAGTCTTCATTAAAAACTCACCTGTTCTCCATGGCCTTTGCCCCCTAAACCATCACAGTCCCCCTGCTAACCCTAACCCTATTATTTGCCGCCCTTGTTTGTTTGTTTCAAACACTGATGTTAACCCCCGTCTCCTAAATGAACTCGGTCTATGTGAGTTTACAGAACTCAGTATATTCTCAGGTAAGGTATCGTGAGAAACACCTACTTACAATGCATCAAAACACACTTTGTGACATTTTAAGAGAAGTTTGTTTTCATTTCGATGCAGATAAAAGTTGGTTTTTTAGTAACACCGTAGATCAGGAGTTAACAGTAGCATCTTAATACGATTAAACATTTACCAAACTGTTGAGAAGAATTCAACGAAAAAACCCCAATATAAGAAGTCAGTATTACAAACACTGAGTCTAACCCACTGTCCTTTTAAATGACCTCAGTCTATGTTTGTATCCTTTTGGTTGACTGCACTTATTGTGAGTTACTTTAATAAAAAGCGTCAGATAAATGAAGTGTAATGCAAAGTTTTTAGACTTGTTTTTCACAATTTTAAGAAGTTTTGTTATTGATTACCTGCCTTTAGCGATTTGGATGCAACCCATCAAGATTTAAAGGAATAATTCAACTTAAAACAAAGCATTATGTGTTATTTTACTACAGCATATTTTTGCATTTTGACAGAACCAAGCTAGCTATGATTCCTCCGTTGTTTAGTCTTTATGCTAAAGTTAAGCTAACCAGCTAGCTTCATATTAAGTGTACAAACATTGCGACTGGTATCAATATTCTCCTCTATCTCTTGGAAAGAAAGCAACTTATGTATTTAGAACGTTCCAAACTGTATTTAAGAGTTAGCTGCCAAATGGAAACCTTTTTTAATTCAAGAAACACCTGGCTTGGTCTTCTGTGTGTAATACCTTTACATACAACATAACAACTTTAGCGTTCGACTTTCTTGACATATTTTTGCTGTCGGAGAACCCAGGCATGTTTGAAGACTTTTGTAGCATCTTAGAATACATTTAGATCAATCAACAATTCAAATTATGCCATAAAGAAAACGTGTCCTCTCAGACTTTGGAGAACCCATTCATGTCAGTAATGTGATGTTTCTTGATGGATGTCTCCACTTCCAATGCTTGTCTTGGTTGTCTTGGAGAGCAGAGGTTAGAACAACAAGCCTGTGATAGTGTTGGTTAGAAGATGTTCCTCAGTGTTTCATCCCCCTCCTCCCATAAGAAGCGGAGCCATAACAGTGTGTGAGTGAATCTGAGGAATGAGTGGGTGGCGCTGAGGATCAACTCTCTCCGGTCAAAGACAACATTCTCCACACATGTGTAAGCAATCAGAGCTGTGAGTTATGATAAAGGAGGGCAGAGGGTCTTCCACGTGTCTTGGTAGATATCTCTAAATGCTTAAAGGATGACCGATGTTCTGACGAGGAGGGTTTAAAAGTGTCTCCTTGATCTTTGCTCTTTACCTGATATGGACATATATGAGTAATCCCATGAGACCCGGAAGTTAGCATCGCTCTGGTTCCCTGGACCGAAAGATAATGGGATTTTTCCACTGGTTCTTGGATTATTGCAGAACACAGCTTTGTGGCAAACAAGAGTTTCTTATATTTATACATTGGGTTCAATAAGATAACCTAAACAAAGGAACATTTTTAAGCTGAAATGCATTTGCCAGAGTGAAAAGCTAGCTAGCGTTAAAGCTAAAATTGGGGTATTGTCTGAAGTTTTTTTATGATTGTTACGTCCCCAGCTCGTTTAGGGTAAAAGGGAAGCAACACAAAACCAGATGTTCTTGGTAAGAGGTTGATTTTAATAATAACCTCAAATAAAAATGATATAAACAAAGGTATAGGCTCTTTAAACAAGGAGCTATCTATTTATAATATAAGTAAACAGAAAAGGAGGCTACAGATTAGCACAGTCACAGAACAATAAGGGCACTAAGGTGAAAATAGTGAGGCGTCTAGCACAAATCCAACGCCGTCACAAATCTCAGAACATAGACATCGACATAAACACTGGAGAGTAGATTAGCGTGGCGTCCTGGCACAAATCCAGCGCCCCGAATGACAGCAGCGTCGCAGCTTAAGTAGCGTCATCCAGCGTCGTCCAGACCTCTTCCGGTGGGAGGAACTAAACAACGTCACGCGGTAACCATAGTACCTAAAGGCAGTCATATACACACACACATATATACACACACAGAATGCTCACAGGCCGGTTAATGCAGAAGGCAAGGCGACAGCCGTCACAATGATGTTGAACAAAACAACCTTATTTCATGCATCGAACAACACAATCTATTCCAGTTACCCATTGATTTGGATAAGAGGGAATCAAAAGTGCAAAAATGCTGACAGATTTGGGGTTTTAAGAGGCGTGGCTTTAAGGTTTCAGTTGATAAGTGCATAAATGCAGCTTAAATGCATTTGCCCGGAGTGAAAAGCTAACTGGCTAGCTAGCGTAAAAGCTGTGTGGAGGTATTTAACCCTTGTGTTGTGTTCGAAAGCTGTTACCGTTCATGGTGTTCGCAGGTCAATTTTGACCCATGATTTATCTCAGTCCAAAACACTCAAAATGAATGACTATCACCCAATATTGTTTTAAATTCATCATAACTAACTTATTATGCATTCATAACCATATTGTTATTTAATTTTATGGCCCCAAAAAACATTACACCACATATTTAAGTAAAACATGTGATTCAATTCACTCATTATATTTCCTATAGTGAAGACGGTGGATCATTACGTTATCTGACTATAATAGACTCATATTAGAATACAATCTCCCCCCAAAAAGTTTTAAATTATTGTTACAGTGGATAAAGGGGGAGGGGTGGGGGTGGGGTGTCTGAAGTCAAAGATGAATCTTGATTGGGCCAAATTTGACCCCGAGTCACCCACAACAATTCTGCTGGGTCTCCCCAGACCCCAACACCAAATTATACACTTTTTTTTTTAGAGACCTTCAGACTTGGCTAAAATGGTCAAAATCTGTTTTGTAGTGTTTATATATCTGTTGTGGAGGATATCATGAAGCCTTGCTCCGATACAAAAAACGAAAGCGCAGTTATTATATAATTTTAACTTGAAACGGGTCACGGGAGACCCGAACACAACATAAGGGTTAAGGTCATTTAGGTCTCTAAACAATCTATTCCAGTAACCCATTGATTTGGATAAGAAGGAACCAAAAGTGCAAAATGCGGACAGATTTGGGGGTTTTAAGAGGCGTGGCTTTAAGGTTTCAGTTGATAAGTGCAGGATTATTTCACAGGCTTCCACACAAAAAACATCTTTCTCTCTCTGAGTGAGAAAAGGTTGTCTCAGTGCCATATCAGCATCGGAGTTACATCACATCCTGTACAGTTGGATATCACTTTGAGAGCAGCAGGAAATACCTCAACTCTTTGCCGCTGCAGCCGTTCCTCTTGGATCTGCTCTCTGCTTTGAAACAATTGTTTTTATGCATTCTTATCCGTCTGCAATCTAAAAAAAATCCAGCGAAGAAAGAAAAAGATAGTTCCACCGACACGCCGTAAATCTTTCAAACACCTCGCAGTCTGCAGACGGGGAGGTTTCTGCTCCTGCTTATTGGGTCTGGAGGAGTCGCTGAGGTCGGGAGGATAACCGTATCGAGGCTGATGCGAAGAAACAAACACTGTGTAGTGTGTGTGTGTGTGTGTGTGTGTGTGTGTGTGTGTGTGTGTGTGTGTGTGTGGTGTGTGTGTGGTGTGTGTGTGTGGGTGTGTGGTGTGTGTGTGTGTGTGTGTGTGTGTGTGTGTGTGTGTGTGTGTGTGTGTGTGTGTGTGTGTGTGTGTGTGTGTGTGTGTGTGTGTGTGTGTGTGTGTGTGTGTGTGGTGTGTGTGTGTGTGTGTGTGTGTGTGTGTGTGTGTGTGTGTGTGTGTGTGTGTGTGTGTGTGTGTGTTCTCCTATGCGACCAGTTTTTAAGCTGCTTTTCTCAGACTCGACGGCTCTTTCCCATGATGTTATTATCTTTTAGGGTTTTAAAACCTGCTCAACCTTTGTCCACCTTACATGATTTTTAACACTATAAATATATATTTTCCTTACTTTCTGTACATTTTTCTCCAAACCCACAAAGAAACTGAATCTTTAACGTCACTTGTAGAGTTTTCTTATGTGTTGAAAGCATTTTCTTACCCAAAAACATTTACAATGCTTATTTTTTTATTGTGTTTCTAAAAAAACATGTAAAACCTGCATGCATTACATCCGTGTTTGCTAGCTTACATCTTCTTCTCCTTCTTTTGCTGCATTACCCCTCCTGTTGTCTTCGGGTCAAATCTGACCTGATCATAACCTTTTTGTTTTACATTCGATTGCATCAAGGCTTTATGATATCCTTCACAGTAGACATTTGAACATATCAAATTGCTGATCACCACTTTCATTGAATTTTGGATGATTTAGTCAACTTTGTAACACTCATGGTGTTCCCGGTCAAAAATGACCGCCATAAAGAAAAGGAATTAGTAACCATCCGGATCAGAACACGCACGCACGCACGCACGCACGCACGCACGCACGCACGCACGCACGCACGCACGCACGCACGCACGCACGCACGCACGCACACGCACATACTCTAGATGTGTTCCCCCCTTATGTGCCCATCCCCCCATATGAATCACACCTGGCACACACAAACACACACAGAACAATTTGATACATTTCCCGCCCTTATGTGCCCATCCCCCCACATGGATCACACGCAATACATGTTCAGTGTCTATTCTTTGTATATCTAC